TTTGTACGGTTTTGTCCAGTGTACATAGTAAATAAAAGATATTCTGTGAGAAGTTACAATAATTTTTCATGTGATTTCAAGGGCCCTCGCTAAAATTACCTGCAGGATTTATTCTTACAGCTATTAAATCCCCACTTACAGCTATTACATCCCCACTGGGGCCTTCTGCTCTGTAAATTCTGCTTTGCATTCAGCGTAAGTTTAGTGTTTGAAAGTCTGGTTCGGTCCGGTTTTTTGATGCCCAGGGGCGTTAACCGTAACCGTAACCGGTCTGCCTTTTCCCCAGAAGTCAAAAGACCAGACCGGACCGCAAAAAGACCGCAGACCGCGGTTTTTTGCAGTCTATAGACTGGTTTCGGTCTGCATCAGTTTTAACCGGTTTATGACCGGTCTTTAGGCCAATATTTTAAAATTATGAATCGGTAAATTTATTAACATCTCTAATAGCTTCAAAACGAGCCCAAGAACGTTAAATTCCATTAGGAATTGGTGCTTCTATAAAATAAGTTTGGTACATCTATTATTCCCAAAAGTAATTTACATTTTAATTCATATCTCTCTCGTTTTTTTACCAAATCGTACGTTCTTGGGTGCGTTTTAAAGGGTATTTAAGGGGCTACAAAAGACCGGTTCACGTTAACCGGTTTTTTTGCGGTCTTTACATTTCAAAAATAAAAGACCGTAACCGCAGGTCCGGTCTTTTGCGGTCTTGGTCCGGTCTGGTTACAGTCTTTTTCCAGTCACGAGACCGGACTTCCAAACACTACGTAAGTTACTGTCAAGGGGGTGCCGGCATTGAAAAAAAAGACCCGGGGTCGATTTTTTTTAAGGCAACTTGAGATGGACTAACTAACTAACGTAATCAGGAACATGTCTATATATAGTAATATGACATCATTTGTGAGTGCTTTCCCCTGCGTCTTGCACAAGTCATGCAGGCACAATTCCGGGGTGCTTGCACATGTTCCACACATTTTAGATGGAACTAGGCAAATAACATGAGTTGGAAAATCACTCAGTTCTCATAATACAATGTACTTACCTAGTGTGTCTCGCATACCTTGTTTGCATATGAGGATTTGATGAGGATACACAGCTACCACAAATTGCGAAGCCCTCTGCATCAATGGCAAGTGGCTCCATCTCAATGGTGTGATACATAGAATGTGTGAAACCAATGTTAGACATACTGTAGATTTTAGGATATTGTTGGTCAATGGTAATTCAAGTAATGTCAAAAAAAATTGAAAAAAATGCCCAAATATGGCAGGAATTAATGAATATCTTATATCACAGTGCTTGATGGCCTCTATTGGAGCTGTATTCCTCTCAGTACATTCTGTAGTTACCATATTATGCTGCAAGGTACTCAACTTGATGATTGAAGGCCTTCTGCCCAAGGCATCCTCTTTTTTTTTTTCACAGCCTGTGGCTGGACTAACTAACCGGGTCCCAGTACGGGATTCCCAGGCCAGCACCCCCTTGGTTACTGTAAGTATTCTACTTTGTGTAAGTATTTCTGCTTTGTGCAAGTAAGTATCCACCTTTCGATCCAAAAGCGCTGGTGACTGGCGCCCTGAGACCAGAGGACTTCCAAATTCACTCATCCCAATTGGGAAGATGTTGGATTGACCTGATCTGATCTGAACTGCCTAGAATTGAGCAGGCCTTAAAGTTGTTTGTAGATGTGCCACCGAATCAAAAAATTTTAAAATGACCTATTATACTATTTTGAATGCCCAAATTGCATAAAAACAAGTGCCGCACTCAATTTGGTGTTGTGGAGTGAGGTGCTGTGCACCAAATCAAGTTTGGACTTTGTCAAAATTTGGCAGGGTCAACTATATTTTCGAGCTCAGGGGGTGGGGGAAGAAGATTGAATGTACAAATTTGGTATTGTTAGAATCACATTAATGTCCTCTATCAATCTATATATATTAGAGAAGCACTGGTGGTAGTGTAAATATTTTATTGCAGCAAGAGACTTCTGAATGATGTTGGAAGGGCCAGGCAAACAAAGGCAAACAGTCCAATAGTTCTACAAGTTCATGCTACAAAACATGGGGGAAGAAGCTTGAATAATAAAACAAGCTGGCATAGTAATCTAGAAGCAATTTTGTTTCTACTGATACTATTTTTAAGAGCACCAGTAGTCTGTGGCCAAGTG